AGACCTTTCTCAGATTTGTTCATTTCGTGATGATATCTTAAATTCTCTAATTTTGGTGAATATTTTGGTCATTTTTGGTAGAAAGTGATATTTTCGACTTCTTGCTAAAAACTGTAAGTCCGATTGCTTTGATACTATACATATTGTTCATTTTCTAATGATGCCTTGCTAACAGCGGAGCTATTTCAGCCGATAGGCTGCTTGTTTTTACACCTTGGTGCTCTGATCTACCGACAATCTTATTTTCGAAAATAAAATTTCTCAAATCCACCATCTCCAACTGACCGAAATTAGAAAAATTTGTGAAAATTATTTTGATTTTACGCGTTGGATCAGTGAAATCGCAAGTTTGCAAATTTTGTATTTTCTGTGTTAAAAACTGAAAAAATTAAACCTGTATCTTGACATGCCTGGATCAATCACAGTCAAACTTCGCACATACATAATACTATACATATGCACATCAATTTGTTTCACGATCTGATTCAAGATGGCCAAATAGTGGACATTTTTGTGCTAAAAAATCATCAAAATCAAGCATTTATGGATGGATTTTAAACTTGGTACATAGGTTGGACATTATGGGTCCTTGATGCACATCATTTTATTTTTCAGATCCAATTTAAAATGACAGACTGGTGGCCATTTTTTTTTAATGAATGCAGTTCTAGTGCCATGCTTTGACTGATTATGTTCAACTTTTATATATTCATTATACATCATGACATAGATATATCTGATTTAAAATGGCCAAATGGCAGCCGTTTTTTTACTAAAAAATCATCAAAAATCAAGCATTTCTGGCATTCCAGAACTGGAATTTGGCGTTCATGGATGGATTTTGTTCAAACTTGGTACATACATTAGAGATTATGGGTTCCTCAAGCATGTCATTTTATTTTACAGATGGCTGACTGGCAGCCATTTTGTTTAAATGAATGCACTTCTAGTGCCATATCTCTGCCATGCTTTGATTGATTATGTTCAAATTTTACATTCGTTTTACATCATGTTATAGATATACAGAAGTATTCAAAATGGCCGACCAGTGGCCATTTTGTTTTAATTAATGCTGTTCCAGAGCAATATTTCTCAATATGGACAAGTACTAGTTTGATGATCAGATAAAAGATGTCAATCATTTCAATGTTAAAAAATCACCATAATCAAGCATCATCTTCTGGATCCATACTTCTGACCTATTTATGTTCCAACTATATTACTATAAACAAAACTATATATCTTAAATTTGATAACTAACAGGGACTGTGCCATGCATGGCTTGTTAAACTATACTGTCTACTACATACATAATTATAAAAAAAAGTTATTTAACATGATGATTTAACTTAAAATTTCATTTAAATATATTGTCCAAAAATACAGTGAAAGACAGATAGCTGTATATTAATGCATTTATAAAAAAAAATGGAAATACGAGTAATCAGCTTTCATTTAAATATAAATACTTTATAGTAATTGGCCCAAGACCTAAACATTGTCTATGCCTATAATGCACATTCACGTCTTCACGCGACATAGCAAGTTACTGTAACTTTTTTATAACAAAGCACCTGCAATGCTGATTGGATAAGGTCAAACTAACTCATTAACAGGCTATTAGCCAGGTATTTGCAACTTCCAATCCAAAACAAGTCAATTAACATATTGAAAAATGTAGATAGTTTTGGATATATTTTGGTAAAATTATCAAAGAACAATAAGAGAAAACAGAAAAATGGGAAAAAGTTGCCAGTCCAAAATCAAAGTTGCCAGTCCGTTTTGGTGGGTGGACTGGTGGCTGGCTAACACCCTGCTCATTAATAATTATGTCACAATATCATTTCTAAATTGGTATATTTGAATTATAACATCCATTTTGATTTATAAAAAATTATATTTATAAAACATTTACTATCGACACAACAAACTGTTTCCTTTCATTTTTATATACTGTAAAATACTTTGATATAGCTATATTCCATTTTAGCGAATTTAACTCAATGCATAAATTAATTGAATCTTAATTTAGCTAAAGTGCCAATAATCTCACTGTGAGAATATACTGTATTCTAATTAGCGACATCTTAATTTAGGGAAATTTCGGATTAGCTAAATTAGCTAAAATGTTTTACAGTATTTCACAATTTGAATTAAAATTTCTATTGGCTGCTGAAATAACAATTAAACATTTTCAAATGACGTCTCTGGGATCGTTGATTGAAATTTATGAAATCGAAGGGAATGTATTTGTTGCATCGATACTACTACCCCCAGGTTTCTGCCATTCACTGTAACAAGATCTAACAAAATCTGTTCACAGTAAATTGTACCTTTACATCCACAGCCCATTTTTACAATGATCTATCTGCAAGCATTACCACGGAAGGTATTAACGTTAATACCTTCCATGGCATTACATACGGAGATATGAATAAATAAACATAACATTTGAACATGACATTTGTGATATACTCTAACAACATATCACTTTGCACATGGTATCTAAACCATTTGAAAAACAAATTTAAACTTACTTCTTGTATTTGCGAGTTCGTCGCAACTTGGAAGCAAATCCGAGAATTTAAACCTCGACTAGTTGAAACCGAGGCTAGGGGAATCCTGGAGTCATCAAGCAACAAACAATCACACACAAAATTACAAAATGGCGCAGGGAAAGATGAAAAAGAAAGTCCAACTTCCTGGAAAAGCCGGACGAAATAAACAGAAACACGCACACCAAAAGAAAGCTTTGGCGCCAAGGAAAGGAGGTGAGCATTCCGTGATAACATTTGCTTCAGATTGAAGATTGGTCACTTTTAGTACTTGTATCACGACGAGTGTGCCTTACATCGAGACATGCTTGTGCCAATTCTGGATTACATGCCGGGCAAGTATAATAGATGCAGTCACGTGTCATTTGTCTATCATATAATGTGAAAGCGTGTAAACAGAGTGTGTACATTTCTGAACTGAACATGCGCTTATTCACCTGTTACTGTAGATGCATTTCATTACAACTAGTCTCATTAAAGTAATGGTGCAGCCAATTTGCAAACTCGCCAGTGAATTGGCAAACTGATTGGGTTTTGACTAAAACAGTGAATTGGCTTCCAAATCTCGCTGGTGCCGTAGAAAACATAGAATGCTTTTCGCCTGGCACATGTCTGGAATTCCCATATCAAAAGCGATTTGCTGTATTACGCAAGTCGTGATAATGTATTTTACAATTATCAAATTGGTTGCCAACTACAATTAAATTACTAGTAAATGTCTTCTCATCTGAAAATCCCTCATCTCAAAAAATGTGATCTTATCAAATAATGGGCGTTCTGTCATACTCAAGCTTTTCCCATGCCTTTCCCTGGTCAGAACCAAGCACAGTCACCTGACGTACAAATGATAATAAGACGAGTATGATTAATTCACCAACATTTAAAATATGTTGAGAAAACAAATATAGAAAACGATCTGTTAGGGTAACATTAACATTACACCAACTGCTAATAAAATTTGAACACATTTATTGATTTGTATTGAAAACCTCTTGCATACAAACACCTAATTACATGGAATTGTAAACTTTCCCCATCACTGATTAGCTCCTGAAAGTGTGATGACCGGGACGACTGAAAAGAGGCGGTTTCCAGTCGTTATAATTTAGCTGTTCTTTGGTGTAACCCTGGCAAACCCTCTATCCTCTGTACAAAATCTGGATTTGATACTTTACGTTTCACCTGTCAGTAAATAATCTACTGAATTGAAGTACATTTGTGTTCCAAAATGACGAGTACATTTGTGTTCCAAAATGAAGAGTCCATTTGTTGACAATTGCCGGCCTGTGCTAGAAGACAATATATCACATTAAAATACAGTTGGGCAACCACATATTCCATCAATCTTTGTATATTCTAATAATACATAGACAAGGTAGTACAAATGATTTATATTCCACTACATAGAATCACTGATTGTCTCCTACTGTAATATAGATTTGCCCAGATTAGTTGTGGCAACAAGTCGGTGCCAGTGACATTCAAAAGCCAACTGTTTAGTCAAAACCCAAGCAGGTAAACAATTCACTAGAGAGTTTGCATATTGGCTGCCCCAATACTCCTGAGACTTGCTTTGAAACCAGATTTTAAACTTTGGAGTTGAGAGAGCAAAGCTAATATTTTACAAAATTGACTTGTAATAGTGGTATAGTGCACCTAGGGAAACTCCATGGGCATCGAGACTCTGTTAACTGCCCTGGTTTTGCCATGCGTCTTCTTTGGTGAAAATAAATGTATAAAAATTGACATGTCATGTAAACCCTTTCTCCCAAGGTTACAGATAGATATGTTCAACTCAAGGTTGGATTTGGGTCACACCTATCATTGGACTGGTACAGGCAACAATAAAAAAATGTTTTTGCCATACTAGGAGTGATCATAAAAATGAAAATGGAATAGAATAAAAAGACATTTGACATATCTCCAAGTTGAAACTTTCGTCCATCTGCAGGATGGTGAAAGTATAGGCTGGAAACATCTCAGAATAATTGAAACGGTAATAGTGATCACACTGCACAAAGAATCTGATTGGTCAATAACTTTGCTATTCTTATACAATGCGTTTATGAATAGATTAACCCCATGGGTTCATAGAGAGAGGGTGATCATATACAAAACCATGCAATCAAATATTCTTATGAACTGTCACCGAACAAATGCAAAAATTTAAATGTTATCATTTGGTAATCCCCTGATTATCTGTAGAGTATTCAACAGAAAACACAACAACAATAGTGTCAGAGGCATTATTTTCATCTCCACGGACAAAAAAGCTGTTTAAGTCCAGTTGCCATACATGTGTATCACTTTACTATATATTAACATTAGTTGTCAATTCCTTCATCAGACCACAACCAAAGTGAAGCTGATTGAAAATGGCATTGCTATTCTCAAAAATATTTGCACTTCACCAACCGCGTTTCAAACCTCTTGAATTTAGGATAAGTTCTATGTTTTATTTGGGACACATTGAAAAAAATACAACCAGAAATAAATCTACACAGAAATTAGGGTGTTAGGTTCATACACTTTTACTTACAGGGGTGAAATCTTTGTAGCATAAATCTATGAGCTACCTCAATCACTTTTGTGATTCCATTGTGTCACATGCTGCTTTTTGACTCCCGTGTGCGAAGCACAAAAGGGAGTCTTTGCAGTTACCCTGTCTGTATGTATGTATGTATGTGTGTATCAGTCTCGCTTTATTAATTCGCATTTACCTTATATATACATTCGTTTATCAGTAACTTTCACAATTGTAATCGATATCACTTCACTCGTTAATTATTATTCGATTTAATATTAGTTTAATTGTTCCTTTCCCCTCACCTACGTGTGAGTTTTTAAACTGTAAATAATTGTTACTTTTAATACTTGAGTAATAAAAAAGAGAAATGTATGTATGTATGTATGTATAAATGTATGTATGTATGTATGTATGTATGTCACTTTTTTTGTTCCACCGTTTTCTCAAGAACCACTAATCAAATATTGGTGAAACTTGGTACATAGATGCTCTGGGATAATGTGCAGAGTTGATTATGTTTTGGTAAAAATCTATGAATATTAATTATCTAATTTGCATGATAATTAGCTGATTTTTAGCTGTTCCAGACTGTTCCACTGATATCTGAAGAACCACTCATTGGATTTTGATGAAACTTGGCACATGCAT